GGTACTGGGTTAGCATAAAAATGTTAACGAGAGCGGAAGAGGGCCTTTCTCGAAGAAGCATTTATACATAAACCCGTACACATGTTCATATATAGTATATATATAATACATATTACACGCTTCTTCGGCTTCATGCACCATTTTCGCTGTGCGATTATAAGGACGCAGAATACAAGACGTACATAATGTCTAGGTGATATGCAGTGTACTATTGGAAACATTTAATTAAACCAAACACTTTTTCAATCTCAACTCAAACAGCAACGTGGTTTGACTTTGCTAAATTTACATGCTCGACGCGTGACCGGCAGGAGTACGCAAGCAGCTGAGAATGAGGAGAGCAAATATTTATAACTCACTTTACATGAATTGTTTATAATTCGCGCCTAAGCAAACATCATCTATACGAGCGAGGCGCACAGCCAACACGCTCGCTTCCGCGAACATGCCTCCACTAACCTCACGACGTTTCGGCTAACCTCGCAAACTCGAGCGAATCACAACAATGCAATTATTGTATCATCCGTGTAATAACTATATTACATAATGACTGGATAATTTAGGGCCAACGGATGCAGGTGGATACCATCAAGAAAGAGCGCATGTGTCAAGCTTTGTTGCTGAACTTTTACGAATAAATAAGAACATTCCCCCTCTGGTTCGAGCGTGTAACCAAACTATGCTGCCCCAGCGTACACGATCGTGTAACACCTAAACATAATGACAACTCGACCGCGTAACTCAATCCTACGCGTTCTTAAAAACAGGTTTAGTCGAGGAGACAGACGACGAACATACGTAACATGTAACAGAAGATGTGAACACGCATAAGGAAAACGTAAAGCAATGAGACGAATCTCACGGAGGGGGGGGGGGACAGCCCAATGACACTGGGAGCCAGGACGCACAATGCACGAGAGAGTAGTTGTACATATCAGACGCGTATCGTCAACTTACCCCCCACCTAGAAAGTCATTGGAATCCTTGTGAGAATTAACTAATCGACATGAAGAGATGGCACACACAAAACGAGACACTCCATGAGGACTAACGTTACGTATCAAGACGACACTAACACGCAAACACATTCACAGTACGACAGATTCCCGAGTCTAATCAGTTAAACAGGAAGTAATAAGTGTTGACAAAAGCTGGGTGAAAATAGCACGAAGAGAAGAGCCACTGACAACAGACACATCTTAGGCAATAACTAAATAGCAGAGTACTACACTATGGAAATACACAGAGTGAGGAAGTACACAAAATCATCACTAAAGCCCGTGCAAAACAGGCGATGGCAAATGACACTTCAAGTGTGGGAAAATCGACCAAACAGGGCTCGGGTCTGTATATACAATAAACAGTATATAACATGTTTAAATGCAAATGTGGAGATATAGGAAACTAACCAGTACGTGTTCCATCTATATATGCACAATAACTCCCCCTAACAGTTACACCTCTGGCATTTTCAAAATAATAACAGTTATTAAAAACAATATGTGCACTTCACCATCAATTGCGCAGTTGATATCCACTACATGCTGCCAACGGAAGCCTCAGATTAGTCAAACCTATGGAGCATTCTGCCTCCTACACTGTCTATACTGACTGACTGCACTATATATATATATATGTATATATATATTAACAATTTACCTGTGTAGGTACATAAATAATAGACTACGTAGTTAAAACAATAAATTCACACCCTAACACGCAATGCTGCTTTACTATGTTTTATACTGTGCACTAGCAACTTGCAGGTTGGTTTAATACTACAACGTACGACTTGAAATTCAGAATTGCGCAGTTACAGAAGTTTCGGCTAATGTAACCTGATAACAAGAAAATTTTCGCCGTAAGCCGCCAGCGAACTAGTTATAGTCAGATGGGGTCCGACGACCAAATATATTACGTTTTCAAATCCTTATTACAAGCTCGCAAGCATGTCGAACTTACTCCGCAGTATGGGACGTACCTCTTTGCTAAGCATTATTATCATTAATGGCTGACAAACTGCTGATTACCCAGGTGTCGCTCTCACGGCAAATCTCACATTTATTCGAGAAATAGGCGTGTATATCAGCCAGGACTCTGCAGTGCAGCCGTGCTTTGGCGTGGAACCGTGCGACGGTACACGGGCAGGCGCCATTACTGCCACCATGTGCTCCTCCCAACTTGAAATCATTGCATATGATGTGCATTCGAACAATGGCAAAATACTTCCGAGATATTCACAAGTTATTCACAGATTATTTTCACACGAGAAAACAGCTCGGCTGGATGTATCCAGAAAAAGCCGGCTTTGCCTCTTGGCTGGCCATTCCCAGTTTCGTTACGGTTACTCTCACACCATCTGTTGATATCTCAGAACTAACTTGCTTTCTGTAATTTCTTTCAAATTAAGAGGGGACTATCATGCCCAAGTCGTGTTGTTGTTACATTGTCATTGGCTCCTGTTATATCTGCAGCTGTAGTCGTTACATCCCATTAGTCTATCGGCTGACTGCTGTGACATTCAGACTGGTCGTATGCGGTTACATCCACACTTCCTTTGTGTTTCTATATGTGAGTAGTGCGGATTCTAACTGCTGCAACACCCAGTGTAGGATCTGGCTGTCCTGGCTCACGATGAATCTATCTTCCCCGCTGAATGGATTCAGATTATTGTCCTGAAACAACGTGCACACAATCAGGTACAGTTAATGAAATTGAAGACAGTGAAGAATTTGCCAATAACAGGCTGGAATTTGGCATTAACCATTTTAATATGTACCTGCTTGACCTTGAAAATAAGTTTGTCCTTGACAATGCCAGAGATATCAATGATGTCTTCTAGGTTGACAAACCAGTCAATATCCCACGTGCCCCAGAAACGACACTTCTCTAGCAGGAACACGTGCCTGAAACACAACAACAACAGCAACACATAATGTCACCACCTAAACTAATGCAACTATTCACTGCTGGCACATTTTGTAACCATTTGTAAAGCTGGTCGACCACTTGATTAAAAAAGAATGCATACCATGTTGTGACTAATAACAATATTACGAAACCAGTTAGGCTGCCTCAGTAACAAATGATACCATAATTCATCAAGTCTTACATAGTATTAAAGAATGCATACCGTGTCGTAATTAATAACAATATCACGACATCAGTGAGGCTGCCTCGGCAACAAATGATACACTAGCCAACGTTGGATGCATAGAGCAAGCGTGTGGCTTCCTACCTGTCAGTTATAAGCAAAACGTCAGGCCTCTCCTGCTTGCTGAGGGGCGCGTGCGCGAAATAGACGTCCGACTCGGTGTACTGACCCCTGCACAGCTCCCGCAGCATGCGCTGTCCTACCGCCTGGTAGGGGGAGTACGGCTGCAGGCCCTGCACACAGTAACACGCAGCCGCAACTCAGCTAAACGCGCGATGGTGTGGGTGGACTCTCGGGCGGGAGAGGGGGGTGGGGGCACGGATGTTTCGACATACAGCAGCAGCAGTGATTCAGGACAGCACTAGTTCAATAACGTAAGCGAACAACACCACATTAAACGGCATCACTGAATAAGAAAACGACATCTCGTCAATTTCTGCTTCATTTGGGGTAGGGGAGACCGGGGACAATTGTAACAAGGGGCAAATGTAACAGAGGCCCTCATTCCTAGTAGAAACGTGCTATATGTATACGCTCTTCACAGCGCATGCACATTTCATTGCCCCACATGCTGTCCTGAGGGTAGGCAGGTTTACGCATCGAGAAACATTTGACAGCCAAAACATCGTTTTTTTAGCAGGTAAGTAAAATCTCGAATTACCTAATGTTTTTTTTTCTGGACAAATATGTACTTGAGCTATCACTGTCATTTGTATATCATAAAAAAATAGGTTTTTAGGCCTGTATTTGGTAAAAGTTTCATTGACGAATACTAATGCTAAGATACAAAAACAGCCCCCAAATTATGGCCGTCTCCTCGGGGGCAAATGTAACAACGTGTTAATAATAAAATAATTTTATTGTGGTTCTATAAATTGCTGTTTAATTGTTGAAAATCTGTCCAACGTGTCACCTTTATAAAAAATATAAAAAATCTTTCTGAGGGATATGATTTGTTGGTACAATTGTATGTGTTACAATTGCCCCGTGTTGTGGGGCGATTGTAACACTTGACTTCCAGTTTTGAAATGATAATGGCTTCAAAATAACTTGTTTTACTTAACCCAAACCTAGTCATATTTCAAGCCAAGATATGCATCTTTAATTTCATATACCTTGAAGTAAGAATTTAACTATAATAAAGTTGTTATGTCAGATTTGGAAAAAAGTGTTACAATTGTCCCCGGTCTCCCCTAGTGAAGATGGGCTACATGCAGATCCTATGGAAATTGTAGCTTAGAGATTGGATTCGGTCCACTGCATTACATTGATACTGGCAAAAAATTAATGAGGGGAATAAAATGGCCACACAGTTTGCGCAAGTCGACCACATACGGGAGAATAGGTGATAAAGTATCGTCAGGAGCGAACAATAATATTATCTATTAAATTAATCTATTATCTATTATTATTCACTCCTGGTATCGTCACACTTTTTTTTTAACTTTTTTTTTTAACACTGAGTAAATATAGCTTACGATGTTTTTGTTGATGAACCTTGGGATCCGCGCTCTATATATGACATCCTCACCAAGTTCCGCTGCCCTGCATATGTGCAAACACATCCACGTGTGAATTATGCACACACATTCGCACGCGATTTCTGTTTTTCATGAGTGATGGTTCCTCAAAAGTGAGGTTCCGTTAATGGAAAATAACTAGCTGCCCAATTAACACGATAAAAAGCATTTAGAGACTAAAGCTACGTGGCTAATATACCATAAATGCGATGCAAACTCACCGTTTGACCCCCTCAAATGCCATGGCAACTATATCAATCACTCCTCCGGCTGGCTTAGTGATCAAACCCATAATGCCCTTCCCTACACCCTTGAAGAAGCCTTCTATGCCTTCATCTTGCATCCCTGAAGAATCCAGCCATATACAATTGATTATATGATAAAAAAATATCAAGAAAAACTCGACAATACTGCACACAGATGATACTGTTGTGATATTTCATAATTTTTCATCCCTGGCTATCACTCCATGCATTCTTTAGATATATTAACGTTTATTACTATGATTTTGTCCACGACCCCTAACCTTTTATTGGTTTCGTGGCTATGCCGGACAGTCCGAGGGCCACGCCCATGACGAAGCCTCTTCCTGCCATAATGACAGCTTCTGGTGCGCCCCTCGTTCCCATGGACTGAATACGCAGTCTCCGCTTCTAAAATGAGAACCATATTATCATCACTATTGACATGATTGACACCATAGCAACCAAAATCGTCCGTGCCATCACCCTCGCCATCGTCATCATCATCGTCATCACCATCACTACATCGTCATCACAGCCACACATGATCCATTAGACATAAACGACATGTTAAAAATTCTCAGACAAAACGTATGATTGTATGAAGCCATAGCCACTAATAAGCAAAGTTAATTGCAGTTAACAGTTAAGTGAAGTAACTTGCTGTCACCAGAGTTAATTGCTGGGCCAGATTTGTCAAAAAAGTACTCTATCACTCGAAAAAACGAACATCCATCTAGAACGCAATGCCATTACACAATTCTCTGCTTCCGTCACATGACAGCGTCCTAACGTCACAACGTTTCTCGAGACAGCGACTCTTGAGACAACAGCTCTCGAGATAGCAGCTGTCGAGCCAATGGCTCTCGAGATAGCAGCTGTCGAGCCAATGGCTCTCGAGATAAATGGTTCTCTCGTCTACTTAATTTCGTCGGTCATCTACTCACGTCACAGAATTTTACTGACGCCGAACATGCAAGTTAAAATGACTATTGCAAGTTTTTTGGCTTAGAAAAACTAAATATAGCTAAATATAGTCTCACCTAACAGTGGAAATATCACTGATTACACCAACATTAAAAACACTAAGATTTTATGCAGTTGTAGCATAGAAAAATGGATTTGACCACATCGTAACAGCAATAAATTTTATCAGGTCGCAACTCGCAAAAATCACAAATGGGGCCTTGGCCGAATTGGCAATATTGAAAACAAGTGCATTTAAGCGAGCCTGTACTATGTCTATGGCAGATAGGCGGTGGCACCACTAGCTACTCCATACTACCGGCTGGTTTGAAGATTACAGCAAACGATTGTTTACCATTAGTACCAAACTAGTGGTTCAAAAATTGCATGTTTTTGGTGAATACGAATGTTCTAATACATTTTATTGTTACTCTAGACAATTGCTGTTACTCAAGCAATAACGGTAGGTGTCATGAAAGTGGTGAAAACGCTGGAAAACTCGCAATAATTACTTTGACTAGCGCCTTTACTAACCCGTTTGTAGTCTTCATCCATGGACAGCAACGCGAGCGTATTTCCAAGCGAGCCGGTGATCAGCGCTGCCGAGCCGAACGTGCCTCCCACCACGTGACCCATGAGGCTCTGCACGCCCTGCGAGAGGCTCTCCGTGAACGCCTCCGGACCTTGGATGGAGGCCTGCACGGGAGCGCCGGGAATCGAGATTAGCGAGAGAGCGCGGCACAGACGTCAGCTAGAGACGCAGCGCAGCACGATGTTGAATTGTCAACGATTGGAAAGGCAGATGGAGAGAGAGAGAGAGATGGAGAGAGATGGAGAGAGAGAGAGATGAAGAGAGAGAGAGAGAGAGAGAGAGAGATGGAGAGAAGAGGGAGGGAGGCAGGGCGAGAGGGAGAGGAACAGAGAGGGGGAGAGGGAGGAAGACAGAGGGCGGGAGAGAGAGGGAGGAAGAGAGAGGGAGAGAGAGAGAGAGAGAGAAAGGAAGGGAGAGAGGGACAGACAGGGGGAGGGAGAGTGGAAAAAAATGCATTAAAGCAGGTACAGTAAAACAGGTATAATATACCCACTACTAAATAATGGCCTGAAGTGCGTGGTTCTGTCACAGGAAGCACCTCTCAGCAACTACGGCCATGTTACCACATCACATCGCTTATCTTGCTTGTCCCCTCCCTGCCCCGCCTGTCACCCCGTGCCTTGCTCTCTTCCTCCCTACTGCGCCCTCTCCCTCCCTGCCTCGCTCCCTCCCTCCCCTCCTGCCTCTCTCTCTTCCTCCTCCCCTCCTGCCTCTATCTCTTCCTCCCCGCCTCGCTCCCTCCCTCCCCTCCTGCCTCTCTCTCTTCCTCCTCCCCTCCTGCCTCTCTCTCTTTCTCCCCGCCTCGCTCCCTCCCTCCCCTCCTGCCTCCCTCTCTTCCTCCCCGCCTCGCTCCCTCCCTCC